TCACTAAGTAAAATGTGAAAAGTAAAGATTTGGGGCTGGAGAGATGACTCAGCCATTAAGAACACTGGCTCTTCTTGGAGAAGACCTGGGTTAGAATTCTAGCACCCACATGGCAGCTAACAACTGTCTGTTAACTCCAGTTCCAGGGGATCTGACACCCTCTTCTGTCCTCCTCTGGCATTGCATGACATGGGTGCACTTACATACATTCAGGCAAAATTCACATACAAACAAAATAAAAATAATAAATAAAATATTAAAAAGAAAAGATACTTAAAAATATGGGAATATATGACACTTAATCCCTCTACTCAAGATGCCATTGTTTAATGCTATTTCCTTCAATCTTTTTTCTCTGCATGTATTTGTTTGTTAGTTTTTATACACTGCACATATATTTTCAAAGTTAACACAGTAAGATGAACTTTTCTGCACATTTATAGTCACTTTAAAATTTCTCTTACACCAGTCATTTTAATATTAATAAAAACTTCTATTTTATGATCATTTATTCTGCCATTTCTCCTCTGTTCTTGAATACTTAGCTGGCTACCCACTGGTTTCTATTGTGGATAAATAATACTCAAAGTTTATCATTGTAACAGAGCATTGCCAACAGTGTCCTTGGGCTGGATCTCACCTCAGAAGTGGGAGCATATGATCAAAGGAAATTTGATTTCAGGTTATCATGTGAGGTGTAGATCCAAATAGATATTTTTCTAAGTGAGAAGATTCCCCACTGTCATTTACAGAATAATACATTCTCACCCCACTGTTTATGATATCTCAATAATCATTTATAAAGTGCTTTTATTTTATTGATATTATAAAACTAATATACACTGTCTATAAAGAGAAAGAAAATCAGAAAACAGGAAAGTTATGCAGGAGCTATAAAAGGAAAAGATTTCTCTGCATTTCAAGTTTACAGATTTGATTTGTTTTGTTTTGTTTTGTTTTGTTTTTCTTTGAGACAGGGTCTCCCTATCACCCCAGCTGGCCATGTAGACCAGGCTAGCCTCAATCTCACAGAGCTCCACCTGTCTCTGCTTGTTGAGTGCTGGAATTAACGATGTTCACCACCACACCTGGCCTGAGATAATCATTCTTAATGACACTGGGTTATAGCTGGGAAATCCTGCCAATTCAAGAAACCCCAGATCACAGGAATGTTGTACCCCACTCAACAGGGTGAACCTAGGACAAAAATACCAAGCCTAATTTGGATGACCCCAGGGTGCTGATAGTAACCGCAGCAGGAAGCCAAGAGCATCTTAGGTATGTCTCTAGCACAAGGCAGGGAGAGGAGCTTTCTGGCCTTGTGTGTGGAAGCTGGCTGAAAGGAGGGACTTACTTAGAAATACTTCAGCATTGTTAAGGTTATAATGTGTGTGTACAGCTTCTCATATTCAGGGGAGATAGAGCCAAGGTCAGGGCTCTGTGGTTACAAATTTAAGAGTGATATGGACATCTTGGATACTTGTGCACAGAGGTGACTACACCTAAGTACCAGGTAAAAAAGTCAGAGGAAGAAAACCTTCAGGTAGCTGTCAGAGGCAAGCCCCAATTCACATTGTGACATTTCGTATGTCTCCCTACCCCTTGAAATCCCACTGACACCCTATACTCCTGTGTAGTGATTTTTAATCCATATGCAAATAGAAGCAAAAATGAAATATAGAAGAAGGCAAAGTGTCAGCAAGTCGACTAAGTCAAAGAAGCTCAATTCTCTACACTAAATGCTGCAGTCTGTTTCATGCTGACTGACAAGAACACCATGATTGTAGACAGAGAATGTCGAAGGTCAGAAGCCAGAGTTCCTCATGCTACCTGTAATCCCATTTACAATCAATGTAGGTATCTGTATCCCAATGTAGGTATCTGTAATCCCATTTACAATCAAGGTACGATGTTAGGTATCCAACATAACATCCTCGTGACTTCTAGATAAAACTCTTGGAATGTGTGTCTGAGCTTGACACACCTCTAGCATCCAAGCATCAACCAGAGAATGTGACAAAGCAACATCTGAATCCCAATGAAGAGATCCCCTTTGCTGTAGCGCACCTACCTGATGCTTCCGCCAGCACAACTGGTAAATGTACTGACTTACTCTTTCATTTTTCCCTTCCCTTCCCCTTCATTTCCTTTCCTTTCCTCAGGTTCTCATGGAAATAAGACGGTCCTTAGGGAGCTGAAGATGATCTTGACCTCCTTGCTGCCCCACCTTCTGAGTGTCGGAATTACAGATGTAGATCACACGTGGTTCTGTTTCCTGTCTTTGGAAATGCTTCTTTTCCACATGCTTCATAGCAGGACTCACGAAGCCTTTCCATGACTGCAGACATGGCTCAGTAGTTTAGAACACATACTGCTCTTGCAGAGGTCCCCCCCCACCCCCAGGGACACACAAGTATGCATAATTGAAAATAAAATAAATCGTAAAAATAAAATCCTGCTGGGCGTGGTTGCACACACCTTTAATCCCAGCATTTGGGAGGCAGAGAAGTAGGTGGATCCCTGTGAATCCAAGGCCAGCCTGGTCTACACAGTGGGTTCCAAGTCAGCTGTGGCTACAGGAAGACCCTGGCTCAAAAAGACCAATAAATAAATAAATAAATAAATAAATAAATAAATAAATAAATAAATAAATAAATCTTTTCCAGACTGACACCCATAACTTAACCATGTATACTTAGGGATTCTTTGTACCTTTTAGTGGCTGCATGGCTTGGTTCTGTTTTCTCAGGATGATTATTCCATGGTCTGTCTGTACCATAATTTGCTTGTTCATTTCCTGCTAGAAAGGCACAGGTTTCGTCCATGTGAGTCACTGTGAGTCAGCTACTTCAGGATAGCTAAATGTTGGAAAACTAGACTTCCTTAAAGTAAACAGGAACTCAGTCACTATGGAAAAGAAAACAAGGGGCCTCCATTGCCTGTTGGGTAGTTCTAGAGGAGAGGGGAACAGAAGAGTCTTGGTTTGAAAGACTGCAATTCCAGATTTAATATAAGTTGAGTACCTGGAAACCCAGGGAAAAAAGGACATAGGCCTTGCCGTGGTATGACATCAGTTGGTCTGACAGATAGCAAGGTGATTCTTTTCTTCCTTCCTTCCTTCCTTCCTTCCTTCCTTCCTTCCTTCCTCTTTCTTTCTTTCTTTCTTTCTTTCTTTCTTTCATTTCTTTATTTCTTTTTCCTTTTTTTCTTTCTTTCTTATTATTTATTTAGTGTGTTGCTAAGTTTTTAATATTTGTTTCTAAGTTTATTTTGGTTGGATCTTAAAATAGATTTTAACTTCCAG